ATATGGTCTTATCAGACAGACCGTTTGCCGGAATTTTGTGAGATAGAAGGCAGAAGTCAGGAGGAGTCGATATTCATTGTAAGAAACTACAAGGCTTTTACATAATACATATACATGACCTTCCGTTATCCACTAGTATTTTTCAGTCTGTTCTCCAATCTGAACTATCTTCTCACTTCGTCTCACGGCTTTCCGCATATTCTGTGCTTCCGCTGTACTTAAAATCTTCGTTCCATCCGATAACTTCGAGGTTATGCTCCGCTACATAATACGAGAAATTTTATGTGTAGCATCGACTACAGTGAGATATCAATGGCCTTGACAAACACATTAGTGATTGATGGACTAACACCACTAGTACTTGAACGCCTCGTTTCCTAACGTATGTTTGTTTGACAAGCACAGAATCATTAACTGTGTGCATCTAATATTTTTGCTAAACTCATTCACATTATAAGCGAGGTTTAATGTGATGCTTTCCAATAAATTAGCTGTATATAAAAGTCCTGTAGGTACTAGTACCATTGGCTGTTAAAAGATTCATAAATGATTTTGGAAACTCGTAGATATTGGCGAATTGCTCAATACGCTTGTTGGTAACATAAACGTACAGTCATTTATCTATTTCGACTATCTGACAGAACCACAATCTTGCACCTTTAAAACATATATAATCACATATAATTAATAATTATTCTTCCGACTTTACATACTATCGCCTAAATTACACATAGATGCCATAACTAAAATATTATCTGTAATTGCTGGTTCAGTTCGTAAACAGAAAACTCACTAACCCTATGGATGCTACTCAACTACCATTGGTCATAAGAAGCACTTAGTATTCTAAGTTATTGAGATTTCTTCCCACCTCATGTTCTACCAGTTTAAAATTTTTTTTGATTATTAATAGCATTCAAATGTTGTGTTTTCCTATTCACTAATTATCTTACTATTAAGTTTTGGGATTCCAAACTCTTCTTTAATATTCTGTGATTTTCTATCTATCCTCATCTCTAAACTGCATACCATCTGACCAGTATCTTATCACTCATACCATTAGTTAACTTCACTGCAGTGTGAGGTAATAACTAAATGTCTGTCCCACAGTACAAAAGCTTTATTAGTCTGGATTGCTTGTAACATGGAACTAGTAGAAACAGTGTGTTTGAATGAGGTATGCAACACAGAGTCAAAATTAAAACAGTATTCATACATACCACAGACGTAGGGGAGCCTAGCATCACAAAAGGAGAGTGAGTAGCGTTACCGACCAGCAAACATAAAGGTGAGAGATAAAGTCAACCTAACCTTGTTTGTAGGGCAGGACATTTCGTTAACATACGGCTCTTTATAGTCTAGAAGGATGTCACGAACCAGTAGTATTGATGTTAATTTATTATGCTGAATACCTCTTCAACCCATGTTTGCAGCCTTGATTCGGTTTCACTCCTCACTGAGGAATCCTATTGCAAGCAATACTAAACAAATACGTTAAATAAGATTCCACTCATAAATCTACAAAATTACAACAATAAAAAGAGTTATATTAAGTTTGACGAGAAAAAATCAAGTTGGCATTCAAAAACAGTTTCTTGCTAAATTTAAAAACTACACAACCCTAAACTTTCAGCTCCTTTAAATCACTTCTATTTGTACAATTCAGTGCCATACTTTGTCTTGCTTTATATAACCTGATGAAACATACTTGCTTGGAAAATGATCTAATAAAAGAGAATGAGTCTAAGTATGCATATATTAATTGTTCCATTACAAGTGACTAAAATTCACTAGTCATTAATACTATACATCCTGCTTCTCGTCCTTCCCTTTTTCAGTACCCTCTTGGTATACCACCGAAAATATATGTGAAGCACGTTACTTCGCCCTACACCAGTACTAATACCTCCAGAATATATCTGTAATCGCCATCAAGAAAAACATAGTAATACGTTAGATTTGTCGTCTTCAACCGACTGCACTGGACTTTAATTGCATTCATTCTCGACCAGTAATTGCTTGTCGCAACGTAAACCCATCATGCACACCATTTCGCATATTGAACATTAGAGTCCTACTGACATCGACAGTCGACAGACACACTGAGATAAATCCATCCTAACAACTTCAATTCTACCCAACGTTTGTGCTGATGATGTCGTTCAGAAGAACAATGAAAGCTTCACGACCAAATTTCCAATGTAATATAGCAACGTCCATCAAAATGTGCACAGTACAACTCTGCGAGCTTTATAACTCACTAGTGCTACTTGTCTGGGTTATCCCACACCAATCATATTTATGGCTTTTGAGATTAGAACTGTGCCCAAACAATTCGTTATGTTTGAATTTATTATTAATAAGAACGAACGAGTGCTTGACGTTTCTCTAGACGCTGTACAGAATAGAAGCCATATCAGTTCTAAATTGACGTACGATGTTTCCTTTATTGGATTTCGAAAGATGTTCATGTTACAATTTTGTCAGTGACTGTGGGACACGTGAATTTAACCGAGATACTTTGTTCAAAAAGAAGAAAATGGAAAAAACACTCACCGTACGTATGGTGTTCATCTCATCCACCCTGTCAAACCAACAGTTTGAGAAATGTCTGAGAATTTCGGAGACTACTACAGAATTGGAAAATGCTCACAAGTACATTTCTGCAGGTTTGAAGAACGATGAACTGCGACGATAATCCAAATGCAGACCAACTCATGTTTTACGCAGTGATTGTAAGCGGTTATAGAGAAAGAGAGCCACTTTCTAAAATACTAGACAACTTTTTTTACCCATCACTGAAACTCGTACTTCAAAATTAGTTGGTTGTAGTAGAATTTAGGAAAGAGATGTGACCACTGTTCACCATCAGTGTAGGAACTTCGATCGGTCAACCTTAAGTGGTACCTGCTGAATTGGCCCATTTTGCAATTTCTATTTAAGCTTGTTAAAGATTCCCTCCTACAAGTCTACGCCTAAAATGATCGGCATAATTAACAATAGGCAGTTAAGTGAGAGCACTATAGTATGCATAACTGTGACGGGAACAAGTTACTTAAAAATGAATTCGGATGCGAAAAATGCATTTCTCTACCAAAGCGCTAAGTAATATGCTGGCGAACAGTGTTATATCAACATTGCTAGACAATTAAAGTCTAAAAATACAGTACGGAAGGTTTTTTACACCAAAATTATAATTCTTGACGTTTTCCTCGAGAATCTAGGCCAGCGCTAGTGAAATAATACGTTACTGGAGAACGAAAAAGGACTGTGAAGTTGATACAGGTATTCAGTGTTTGACAACGCTTCTACCAGTAATACCTAATATAATTTGTTCCCATCGAGAGAAATCAAACGACAGAGTCAAGGAGATCGGATGAGTGTATTTGGCGATTACCAATATATCGGAATTCTCTGATCTAATCTGGCTAGCGATTGCGGTAGATGTTGAGCACAGCATTACCACACGTGATGTGGTGCGGATGCATGACCGAGCGCCTTCAGCTAGATGAGTCCACTAAAACATATGGTCAGCATCCAATGTGAAAAACTTACAGAGCTATTTATTTTGGGGATTTATTTACCGCTACACCTGTTTTACGAAGGGAATTGAATATAATCAAATATTAATGAGCAATAATAGTGTCAACAGAAGCTCTACTTTGATATCTTTCGAGAAACATCATTTTCTAAGTCAGCTTTCAGTGATTGCTCGCCTATCGAAAAGGCCATTGAAAACTCACATTATTTGTGGCGTAAGCTAGATGTCTCTCAACTCAAAAGAGGGTATGATCCACAAAAATTCTCCCTTTACTAGTCTATAGAGCTAAAACGTGGTCTATGGGAATAGTGCCGCTATGTAAACTGAGGGTTTTCAATCATAAGGTAATAATGATGCTTGACATAAGGTTTTGACAGTGATGTAATGTTCGTCGGTGAGGTTGTAAATGTTCATTAATGGAGATGGTTTTGACACACGTTACATATGTTGAGTCACTGCCGACTTCGACAAACAATGTTAGCCGGTGTAGAATTACACCAGTGTAGCGAGTGATTGGAAACTCTGAGTGATATGAACCAGGATCATTCACAAAGGCTCAGATGCATTTATTTTTCACTTTCCTCCTTATATTCAATATCTTTAACATCCCTTCACAATTACTTCCTTATCCTATTTTGTAGAACCACGTTCAATCTTTTTAATATGATTTTCATCGTAATATTTAGATTGCTTTGCTGTTTGTATTTCTGAATTCATCTTGTGCTAACATGGTCTGGTAAATTGAGTTTATGTTCACCATTGATTAGCTTTGAGAGAATACCTCCTGAATTTTAGTAAGACGCACAGTGTAAGGTGTGAGAAGGGTATCCACTGAAGACAGTAGACGATGGTGAAACACTATCGTGAACTGATTTGTACAACATTAGATACTAGACCAGTGGTCTATATTGTTACGCACTTGTGTATCAGACTAAAAGTGTAGGATTCGATTTCTGCCTGCATTGTCATAAATTTGCACTTCTGACGAGTCATATGCTAGGGAGAATCGTACGTCCAGTGCTTTAGGGCCTCCAAAATTTTTTAAAACTATGGCCGGTTTGCGATATCAACGAAACCCGACAATCTTCATAATCTTATGATGACAATTTAAAAGCATACCAAACCTACTAGGATTACTAACAAATCAATGTATTATCTATTTGAAAGATTCTCAAGACTTGGTACTGATATGTAACACCAAGATGTCTTCGTGGTGGATGTTAGACTCACTGATTAGAATAAGTATAGTTGTAAATCATTTGGAATCCCTATGCATAAAATTCATCGTACGGCACTTCGATTTTTATTGCTCCAAAGTTGGGAGTTAGATTACTGTACAAGAGCAATTTTCATTGTTATTGTTTGAGGGTTCAGTTTGTTTTAGTGATGTGAAAGTATTTTAACTTGTGTAAGGTCATTTGGTCTTACTGGATCATCTGGATCTGTCAAAGTAGAACTAATGGGTTCGAGTTCGAAGCCGGAGCGTTATGATTCCCAGTCACTACCCGAGAGAAACTCGTTGAACAGTGATAATATCGAGCACGAAGGCGATATTCTCACTCCATTTACCTATCAATGTAGGGTTTCAAAGTTGCAGTATTTTAAGGTGCTGGTTGGCATGATTGATTATTTTTAATGTAGATGTACTTGCTCACTATTACAATACTCCCTTTTCGTGCTTTGATAGTTGGTTTCCTTTTCATTGCTACACTTCTCGTTGCAAATATATTCACGATTGGATATGGCTCGAAATCTCAAGTAAAACCTATCTGCGATTTTAGAAGGTATTATATTATACTTTACATGTTACTTTTAGGTGGCTTATTCTGCCGATCGTACGTATGTCTGCTCGACTTGTCTTCTTTGTCGGGGGATTCCATTGGATTAAAATCCAAGGGATACGTGCGTCACGTAAAGAAGCGCCTATTATAGTTATTGCACCTCATTCATCCTTCCTTGATGCTCTTGTTGTTGTGGTTCTTGGCTTGCCATCCGTTGTTGGGAAAACGGAGTCCGCGGAATCCTTTGTTGGTGGATTTGTCAGGATGCTCCAACCCATTCTGGTTAACCGAGAAGATCCCAATTCCAGGAAGAAAACAATTCAAGAGCTTATTCGTCGTGCAAAATCAGAAGAGAATTGGCCTCAGATTGTTATTTTCCCGGAAGGCACTTGCACCAATCGAAGCTGTATTGCAACGTTCAAACCAGGTAATTATTCCTATCTTTATAATCACAGACGTGCCAAATTTGCAAGTTTGCCCAGCTCACGCTGTTATAAGCACTGCATATGTTGGCATATTTACTGGCTGTCATCCTAATATGTGCTTATCAATTTACTTGTAAACCGTAACTAAATGGTTGGCAGTTATATTTTCCTTAAATTTCCTATTTCCCACCTTTTAAACGCTATGATGGCTGAAAAATACCTTATCCAACGGTTTAGTTGTATTGTCTGAATCCGCGACTAAATAATTAAAACATTCATCTTTCAATTATCTTATCGCTGGTCTGAACTTTTCTTATGTATTTTATATTTTATCAGACGGCTAATATCTGTGGCCTTCATACAGGCCGGATACATAAATCAGTGAGTTGCGATATTGGATTGTTGTATAGTCAGTAAACGCGACTAAAACGCTGATATGCACATGGTATTTATCTCTGTAGTTGGTCTAAGGATTTTGTGCAGATTTTATTTGGACACATGTTGAGACTTCCAGAAGAGGTAGTCGATAAAGGTTATGGGTCGCTTGTTGATCATAACCTCCTGCTTCGGTTTGGGCACCCGGGCAGTATCACAGCCCTCACACATATCAAATGAGATTTGTGTGGTGCATATGTATTTGGTGCCTACTTGTACCAATATCTATGTGTGTGTTGATCATCACCGTTGAGTCAAAGGGGAAAATAGCAAAAACCCATAGTATTAACAGATAGTCATCATGTTTTCATCTTGTCCTGATAAAGGCGATCACTTGCGTGCAAAACAGGTACTCTAAATACATAAATAATGATTATTCGAACTAAACGTTGATGTAAGCTGTAAGTTGCCACAGGTTATTAGCTTACACATTAGCTCGTAATTTCCATGACGCATTTAAAAAAACATTTTTCGCAACAGATGCTTAACTCATATGTTACTAGTATTTTAAAATTGACTGAAACGTTATAACTCGTGGATTTGTGTCCCTAATAGTGAATAAAATAATGATACCACCCATTAGAGAACAGTGAATTATCGACCGGACCAATGACGCATAAAACCCGTACGAGCAGTCTAGAGTCTTTACCGGTCCTTCGTTCCTAGCCTAGCCTGTTAAGTCCAGAACACCAATCTCAGCCTCCGTGATATGAATCATGTATTTCAAACATACTGGGTTTTTATCCAAACCAAAGAGACTACGTCGCACCACAAATAGGAAAATTTTTTTACAATATTAGCCAAAAGTGGTTGTGAATGTGGAATACTATAATTAATAGACTGGGCATAACTCAAAAACGGTAAATCGTATAATAATAGTCTATGGGTCAAAATAAAGCTTTTATTAAGAGGAACATGAATATGCTTACTTTAGCTACTTCATAATTATACAACAAAAATATATGTATCGTATCGGTCCACAAATAGTTCTCAAAATTTACCATTCATAATTCTCGTTGGGATATAACATTAGTAAAGTAGCCTAATTAGTCGTCATTTTGCAGAGTTTCTAATATATTTGTGTTATTTATTTACCTTCCAGAGGAACAAAATAAACCTGCTTTTTTGAACACTTCGTTAACAACTAATTTTGTGTTAAATTTTGGACGTTTAAACATGTCTACCAAAGAACCCTAATTAACAAGTCAACCATCTTTGGAACGTTTAAAAACATTGAGCATTTTTAGGAAATTTCAATTAATTTTACTCAGTAGAATAATCAGACACATTTACTGTAACCGATACACTACGATTTACCAATGAACCTAACCATCCGCATATCAACATGCAGAAGTCACTTTCTCTACTCTTTCAATGCTATGTATCATAATCAATTTATGCTTGAACTAAATGAACATTAGTAAAGTAGCCTAATTAGTCGTCATTTTGCAGAGTTTCTATTTATTTATTTTTCAGAGGAACAAATAAACTTACTGCTTTTTTGAATTCATAGTAGTTAACTCAGTGGTAATAATTTATAAAAGAATGATTGCATATGATAGTACAGGAAGGAAAAATTAGTTAGTAGAAAGAGATATGAAGCGGTTTTAATATCGCCTAAACTTATATTAGTATTAGGATTTAGTTTACATTAGTATTTCATTTCTACTATCATTAAATCAATTGGTTATGCAAATCTCTTACATTGTTCCATATCACATCTTTACTTATTATGGGTTAGACGTACATTATTTTGGTATCCAAGATAAGGTTTATGAAATTTTCCCTATACCTTCTGCTACTCGATAGTTGTTTAGCTAAAACCAGCAATCGTTCAAACTGAGACCAATTTTTGTTTGATAATTACTTGGTGGGTTTGTAACAACTACACTAATTCAATGGAAAGTCGACTTTTGAAAAACTGAATGCCTTAATGTCAACATGAATCATGACACTAAATTAGGCTGTTGACTGCCTAAATGTGTTACGTGGTCAAAGTGCATGTTGAAGTAATTCTATCAAGCGTAATCAAATGTGCATACTGTATACGAATTTCACACAACAATGAATTGGTGATCTTATGAATTTAACAGCTGTTTTGTTCTAAATTTTATTTCTAGGGGCTTTCAATGCAGGTGTACCAGTTCAACCAGTAATCGTTCGCTGGCCAAACAAAGTGGTAAGTGGAGTTATGACACTCATTGTACGTATACCAAGATACTAAACTTTTTAATAATATTGTCTTAGTATCTGTTTTTCTCTAATATCCAACTTGGTAGCTTGGGTTTGCTCGTAGATTCTTAAAACCCTCAATGTTGGAAAATTATTCTGAATACGCTTCATCTTCTCATGGATTTTTTTTACATTTACAAAATAACAGGAATTCAATCAACATGAGTGTTTCATTTTCAAGAATGTATTAGACTGGCGTTCATGTATTTTCCTATCATATGTTTTATATTACTGATGTACAAACCATTCCTGTCTCTCGATGAAAGGGTTTAAATGAGTTTTTCAATCGAGTGTTAAATACTTAAAATTTCGTGTTACTGATGACAAAACTGAAGCTGAAACCTATTACGTAGAAGTTGTCAGTTGTCTTCCCTCATTATTTTGTTCTATTTTATCGATGTATCCCCGCAAACCTTCAAGCTCTTGAATCTTAATTAACCTGGTTTTTATCCAATACGTTTTCCAAACATGTCTCCAACCTATGGTTTTTTGTTTGTTTCATAAAAACTTTATGCTAAACTACGTACTATTAGTAACCTAAGTTTCTGTGCCATCATTTTCAGATATAAGTTTTTCCATCGTAATATTTTAGAGAACTCACTTTTTATGTTATTCTTCATTACTGGTCTCACCATCCTAATCATTTCCGTCTCATTCAATTTTTAAATCACCTAACAGTTTCATTTCTCTGACCGTTCAGCAAGACACATTGGGGTTATTCGTGTGATTTCTCGTATGTCATTAAATTACTTACCCAAATAGGAGATTGGATTTACCCATATACTCATTTATTATAGTTTAAACTTTCAGGAATAATTGCTATAAGTTGCAAAGATGGGTTTATGCAATTGTGTGTTGGGCGTTTGGCGATTCGTACATTAACCATTAAGTGAGACAATTAATCACAAAATATTACAGATCAATTGACCAGAGACCATCAGTAATAACCTGATGTGGCAGGAAACAAACCGGCTTTCAGCTTAGAAAATTAGAATAAGATACTGTAATAATCATCAATTTGCGTCACAAGGCAAGTTTCAACGTGAGATTCCCAAGGCAAAAGAAAACGATGCAAACCGAATCTCATGGCGCTGTGTTTTGACAACACGTCAGAAGGATCAGTAGCACTTCAACAAGTGGGAAGGAGAGCCCACCACAGACTTAGCTGGAGATTCCTGGTCGACGGCTTGTGCCTCATAAGGGGTAGCATGCTTAAGTGGAGTGAAATTATTACTTTTTGACTTAATTTCATGTCTATTTTTTATTCGAATACAAATGTTGGTACAAGGGGGCACCAAATATACATGTGCCAAGTCGAGAGCAAATATTTAGATCATATTGATATTAATCACGTATTTATTTATTTGGACAAATAAACACTGCTACAAGGAGGCACCAAATAGACATGCGCCACATAAATCATTCGGTTTGTATGAGGGCTGTGATGCTGCCCGGGTGCCCAAACTGAAGCAGGTGGTTCTCTTAGGGGGCCACACCCCAAGTCTTTGATATAAAGGTCTGATCCACAAGCCAGTGGAGCAACTTTAGCGGAAGCAACCATATGGTAGCTGGTGACCAACACTTGGTTTATACGCCATTTGTTCATTCAGGATACTGGATCCAATTAGCATCTTTGGTTTGGAATCAGGGTTTCCCAACTATCCTTGGTGGACCCTCCGTGTTCACCAACTTCGTTAAAGAGCCGAAGTTTCGCTTTTCGTCCTCTCAATTTCATACATGGCCATGCGTATATATTCTCTACTAGGGAAGTCTTACTCACTGCATTCTCGTGGCGAGGTTGTTATTTACCAAATGAAGAGGACAAAAAGCGAAACTCACTTCATGTGTACTCATTTTTGAGCTTATACATCAGCTCGCCTATGGCGCAAACTCGGTTCTATCTAAACGATCTCGAGTCACTGACTGGTCGAAAATGCCCAAATGCCCTGGTATGGCCAAGAATGGGGTGGGCCCGCCCTCCCTCTCAAAATGCTCTCACATGGCCACGCGTATACAGCCTCTGCCAGGGAAGTCCTAATCAATGTCTTCTCGTGGCGGGGGTGTTGTTTAGGAAAAGCGAATGTCCGGCGGTTTAACCGGATTCCAAATCAATGGTGCACATGGGCTCCAGTATCCTGCGGGAACAAATGGCGTATGAACCAATTGTTGGTTACCGGCTACCATGGGACTGCATCACCTTACGATGCTCCACTGCCTTGTGGATCAGACCCTCAGGTCGAAGGCTCGGGGTGTTGCCCCTTAAGAAAATCACCTGTTGCGGTTCGGGCACCCGGGCAGTATCACAACCCACACACACACACAAATATGGTGTGGCGCATATACATTTGGTTCCCTCTTGTACCAATATTTATGTGTTGAAATAAATAAATAAATGAACATGAATACTGAAACACTTTATGAAACCAAGTGCACCATTGAGACTGACCGCCTTCAACGTTCGCAACAACAGACAGGGCTGGCTATGTCCCGACAGATTGCAGCCCGGATGCAATCAAGGATGAGTTTTACCACCAGTTATCTGTTCTTCTCCAGAAAGTGCGTTCGACAGATATTGTAGTACTAGCCGGAGAATTGAATGTTCAGGTCGGGCGTCTAGGCACAGAAGAGAGTCATTTAGGTGGCCGATTGGGACTTGTTGGTCGCAGGTCAGATAACGGGGACCGTCTACTGCAACTGTGCACAGACCACAACCTGTTTCTGGCTAGCACTAACTTTCGGCACAGTCATCGCCGATGTGCCACCTGGCGTCCTCCCTCTGCATCCCAAGCCTGGACTCAGATTGATCACATCGCGATCAGCTACCGCTGTCGTGGTTGTGTAAAAGACTGCCGCTCCTTTTGGAGTACCTATCTGGATTATGATCAATCCCTTGTTTGCGCCAATATTATTTTACGTTTCGGTGTTCAGCAAATTCATTGTCATAAACGGATGGGTGTCAGTAAAATGATTGCAGATTCTATTGCAACGGGTGACCATGAGTTTGGACACAAACGAAGGATGTTACGCAATGAAATTGGATAAAGCTCGCGTAAGGACCGAGAAGCCTGTTGATCAGAGCGTGCTAATTAGTTGGAAGCAACAGCTGCATCGGGTAACTGCCGGAAGCTCTTTCAACTCATCCGAATCACTGGAAGCAAAAATTCTGGTGTGAGGATGACGGGACGCCAGTCACTAACTTCCATTGACGTCTTGGACGATGGGCAGAGTTCTTCGAAGGGCAGTTCAACTGGTCCACTGCTCCGACAACATCGATCAAACTGTCCTGACCTCCGTAGCCTGTGACGACTGATCCACCAAATGACGCGGTAGTCCGCAAGGAACTCCAACTATTGAGGCTCTACAAATCACCCCACCCAGATGACCTACCTCCGGCTCTTTTTAAAAATGGTGGTGAATTTCTGGTTAAGGAACTGAATACGTTGTTTACAAAGGTCAGGGAACTAGACAGTGTTCCAACATCATGGGATGAGTCGATAGTTGTTCCTATCTTTAAAAACGGTTCACATCGTTTCTGTAACAACTATCAGGGGATTAGTCTATTTCCGATTGCGTCCAAACTATTGACTTCTGTCATACTTCGTAGGTTGTTCAAAAACCGAGGAAGATTGACTCGCGAGGAGCAGGCTGGGTTTCGTTCTAGTCGAGAATGTCTTGATTATATGTATAGGCAGGGTTGCCCAATCTCACCATTCCTCTTCAACTTTACCATCAACAACATTCTGGAAACAGCTCTGATGGATGTGGATCTGTTGTCTGGAGAAAGACTTCGACCTTGAGTATGCGGATGATATTGTCTTACTGTATGATGATGCCCAAGCCATGCGATCCGCACTTAATCAGTTGGCAATCAGTGTCCGTAGGTACGGTATGTGCTTTTCACCTTCGAAGTGCAAAATACTTCTACAAGACTGGCAGGATCCTAATCCTGTACTCACCCTGGATGATGAGCAGATAGAAGTAATCGAGAAGTTCGTGTATCTAGGTAGCTGCATAAGTGCTGGTGGTAGCGTGAGTGATGAGATCAATGCACGTATAGTGAAAGCTGGAACGACTTATGCCAATCTGGGCCGCCTTTGGCGCCTCCATGATGTTAGTCTGGCTGTAAACGGTTGGATCTACAACGCGTCGGTGAGAGCGGTTCTGCTCTATGCTTGTGAAACCTGGCCTCTCCGAGTTAAGGATGTTAGACGACTCTCCGTGTTTGATTTTCGTTGTCTCCGAAGGATTGCTGACAACCAGTGGCAACAACATGTTAGTAATGCAGAGATTCGGCATCGTGTTTTCGGGTGCCGAGACGATAACTGGTCGCAAGCACTTATCGTCTCAATATATAAGAGATAATCAAAATCAACCTGTGACAATCATAGAGGGGTTAGTTTAACTAATATAGTATCTAAAATACTATCCTCGATAATTATCACACGCTGAACTAAGACACGTGACTACAAACATGAGAGAACCAAGCTGGCTTCAGACCTGTTCGTTGCTGCATCGACCACATATTCACCATTTGTCAGGTTCTAAAACACAGGCATACTTATCGGCATCCGACAATGGTGGTCTTTCTTGAATTGAAAGCAGCATTTGACTCAATAGACCGCGAGGTTCTGTGGCAGTGTCTGTCATTGAAAGGCGTACCCCAGAAGTACATAAACCTTGTGAAGGCTCTTTACTCGAACACTACTAGTCGAGTGAGAGCTTATGGCGAACTGTCATCTACTTTTGCAACCTCAAGTGGTGTCCGTCAAGGCTGTCCACTTCCTCCATTTTTGTTTAACTTCATCATAGACCTATTGATGGAAATTACATTCTCGTCGACTGAATTCTCGGGTACTGATATCCTTCCAGGAGGTCCACTTACGGACTTATAATACGCAGATGGCACAGTCCTGTTTGGTGAAGACGCTGATAAAGCTCGTTTGGCTTTCGCCAACTTACGTCACCTATGGCGAATGCGAGATATCCGTCTATCAATAAAAGGACAAGTATACTGTGCGGCAGTTCGTTCTGTTTTACTTTACGGTAGCGAAACGTTGAAGATACTCGTAAGCTACTAGTATTTGACCACAGATGCCTTAGAAATATCGCTGGCATCTGCTGGGATCACCAGGTAAGTAATAGTGAGGTTAGACGCAGGGTATTAGGGAATGATGGTAAATCAGTCGATAAGGTTGTGAATCGTCATCGACTGAAATGGTTGGGCCACGTGTTACGTATGCTCGAACACCGATTACCACGACGTGCTAACCGGTTTCGGGGATGGTTGGAAGAAAGTCAGGAGCGGTCAAACCAAAACGTTGTATCAGTGCTTGAAGTCACTAACTTCTAGTCTGAGCCATGTTGGTAGATGCAGACTACTTGGTTGGGGTCCGCGTGACTATCGTAACCACTGGTTGGAGACTTTTGGTGACATGGCTCTGAACCGATCACAATGGCGTCGGTGTATACACTCACTATCTTCCCTTAAACTAAGAGATTAAAATTGCTTCATATCTTTCTTTGTACGAACTAATTCTTTCTCCCTGTACTATGTCCTTATATGCAATCTTTCTTCTATATATTACCCCCATTGCGGTAACTACTTCTATGAATTCGGTGCCAATTTTGTTGTGCTAATGATGTGTGGCAACTTGAACCAATGCATATATGTTCCTGGTCCTACGTTGTAACTGACTAACTGACTTTCACGACACCTTGGTTGGGGTCCTGGAGATTGTGCAACACAGTGGCTAGTGACGTTATCAGATATGGCCCAGAATAGAAGTCACTGGCGATCGTGCTGTAACCTTTTAGTTTTTTCATAAAAAGGGGCCTTAACTTCTTTAAGTGAGAGAATTCTTTTTACTTGTACCTTTTTGTTTCCCACATGATTATTCTTATTTAACTATCATAAATAATTTGTGGTTGTTATTGTTCTTTTTTACGCACCTTACATTATTTATCTCTACCCGTCCTCATTGCTATTTTGTGGCGCATATGTATCTGATGCCCCCTTGTACCAATATTTGTGTTCAAATATATAATGAAACAAATAAATTTTAGTGTGGAATTTTCATAACATGATTTTAACATGAGACCTCGTAATAGTATCAGTCATTGCAAATTTATCTACGTTTAAATATACAAAATTAAACAGTCTATAATCTGCAATCAGAAGTTAAAGTGTTTTTTTTGCAAGCTGTTCATACTCATGTGTTGGTAGTTGATTGAGAAGCAAAAATGAACAGGATGCAGATACAGTTTCCGTAATAATTAAAAATAATTATCCGAAGTCTTTTTAGTTTCATAGATTTCTAGAGCTTATATACGTAAATGTCAAATTAGTTGTCACACGGACTTTGACTGTGGGACGTATACTCGTAGATCTAACTTAATTTGGAGTGCTGTCATAGTTGCAAACACTTTTAAAGATCTCTGGTGATTGTCGCAAAAGTGTGGAAACTCTATGTTCACCGATTAGATGACGATTGTTAAGTACATTTAACAATTTTATTTGAAGTTTCATGTCTTACTAGTGATCTATTAAGTGGTAATGGATTCCTTAGTTGTACTGCTTAACAGTAGCAATTATAGAATAATCAGTTTTGAAAATTTAATTTATATACCACAAATCGGCATCCTTAATTGACTTCACTTGACACCTGGAGTATCTTCTTAAGGCATTGTGTAACTCTTATCTAGTGTTGTTTCAGTTGTCTTGAATTCCTGTTTTGGTCTTCGTTATCAAGTAGTAATAACATATAATGGCCCTCTAAAATCACCAAAGCGAATGGTGTTTTTGAGAGCTACTTTCTTTTTCCACCCCTTTTTCGTATATCAGCCTATCGAACTTGGAACGCTTTTGATGGAGCCAATCTTCCCAGGGAGATGCCGATCTGCCTGAAGAATATGAGTGGCAAGTATGTCTGAAGAAATGGTTCCAGCAATTTTTTAAGTGAAATCCTCAGTGTTTGGTACATGTTTCCTCCCTTCGTACTAATTTAGTATTAAAGCATATGTAGTTTTTTTGTGAATAATGTTTTGAGGTACAATTTAGCTACAGATGTCTTTTAGTTTCCATAAGCATATATGGAAAGAGATTACTAAAATATTGTTTCACATCTGTAAATTACCAAACGTAGATTTATTTAGTCAACTGAGATATAGTCTAGTGTTACATTCGGTTGCAATGCATTTGGTAAACACTTGACCCTCACAGCCTTGTGGCGATGTTTGCCGTTGAAGTGAGTGCCTAGCAGTCATATCACGTGACCAGCTAGCAAGTTTGTTTTGGAGTGGCTACCTGAAATACACTAAGGATTTGCACTTAACGTTATACTACTTTGTTCTTGATGTGATGCTCTAGATAATACTTTTACCCACCAAATTCATAACGACTCATTTCCTGTCCATAAATAATTCAAGCCGTTCCAAATACTCTGAGAATATGGTTTGGTGTATATGGGCACTAGAAAATCGCTTTTTCTCTAGATATCTCGCGACTCTGGGCTTTAAACGTTTTTTTTCACAGTACAGGTATTTCCGGTCCTAAGTTGTTTCTTTCTGCATGGTTCTATTTATATAGAAACGTTTTCATTATAAGGTATAACTTTACCAAATATCACCCGTCAATGATAAGCTTTTGTTACCTCACTGATCTGACGTGTCATTGGGTGGTTGCATATTGTATGATCGCTTACTTACATACCCAACGTTTTACACTGATATTTAATAGGTCATATTCAATCTGATTGACGGTCTTTGAAATTTAACTTCTTAGTCCTCTAGTTATTCGTTGCATGTAAGTAGTAGAATTTTGAGTTCGTTTCAATCGAATATTGTATTAAAATCGCTCAACTTCCCCCCGAAACTAGTAAAAATTCATGGAAGTTGGTTACGGACTTATTGGCAAACGCAGCATTAAAATATGTGTAATGTGTGACTTTTTTCAGCCACTGTCGCTTTTTAAATTTATTTCTGATTAGTGATTCTCTAAGCATTGTTGCATGATGTTCCTCCCTTTACTTGTTGTTTTACCATCTATCATTAATGTGTAAATAAATATATCTTTCTTTCTTGTATTCCAGGACAGCGTGACTTGGGTCTGCGAAGGTCCTGGTGTGTAAGTAACTGTTAGTTAACCGGTTGATGTGTTTTCTAACACTGTCTGTAAAATCTATTCACTATAATTTTATTTTTATCTAGCTTCAAACTAAGATAACACGCTAGAATTGCTTTTAAATCTCAACATTTGTTTAGTTGATTTTTTCCTGTTTACATACTAAATCTAACATTTATTCCAAATTCAAACCGTTTCTCGCCCTCTAAATGCAAGTTGTTACTTTAGCACCCACCAGGGTCAACACCTGAACTAACGATAGGGAGTGAATTAGTCAAACGCGTCGCCCCCAAATGCCCTGGTACGTCCTAGAGTGGGGAGAGTCCACTCTCCCTCTCGAAATGCTCTCACATGGCCACGCGTATATAGCCTCTGCCAGGGAAGTCCTAATCAATGCCTTCTCGTGGCGGGGGTGTTGTTTACGAAAATGAGAGGACGAAAAGCGAATGTCCGGCACTTTAACCGGATTCCAAACCAATGGTGCACATTTTGCTCCAGTATCCTGCGGGAACAAATGGCGTATGAACCAATTGTTGGTCACCGGCTTCCATGGGACAGCATCTCCTGACGATGCTCCACTGTCTTGTGGATCAGACATTGAGGTCGAAGGCTCGGGGAGTGGCCCCCTAAATAAAACCACCTGCTTCAGTTTGGGCACCCGAGCAGTATCACAGCCCTCACACATCGAATGAGATTTTTGTGGCGCATATCTGTTTGGTGCCTCCTTGTACCAATATCTGTGTTAAAATAAATAATAAATAAGTCAAACGCGTCGACAACTTTACATATTTTGGAAGTCTAATCAGTCCTAATGAGTTGGCGTCTGACGAAATCTCTGCACGAATTTAATTAGCGCGTTTAGTTTTTACCAACTTACGTCACCTATGGCGAATGCGAGATATCCGTCTATCAATAAAAGGACAAGTATACTGTGCGGCACTTCGTTCGATTCTACTTTTCGGCTGCGAAACGTGGCCATCAAGGTTAGAGACTATTCGCAAGTTACTAGTATTTGACCACAGATGCCTTAGAAATATCGCTGGCATCTGCTGGGATCACCAGGTAAGTAATAGTGAGGTTAGACGCAGGGTATTAGGGAATGATGGTAAATCAGTCGATAAGGTTGTGAATCGTCATCGACTGAAATGGTTGGGCCACGTGTTACGTATGCTCGAACACCGATTACCACGACGTGCTAACCGGTTTCGGGGATGGTTGGAAGAAAGTCAGGAGCGGTCAAACCAAAACGTTGTATCAGTGCTTGAAGTCACTAACTTCTAGTCTGAGCCATGTTGGTAGATGCAGACTACTTGGTTGGGGTCCGCGTGACTATCGTAACCACTGGTTGGAGACTTTTGGTGACATGGCTCTGAACCGATCACAATGGCGTCGGTGTATACACTCACTATCTTCCCTTAAACTAAGAGATTAAAATTGCTTCATATCTTTCTTTGTACGAACTAATTCTTTCTCCCTGTACTATGTCCTTATATGCAATCTTTCTTCTATATATTACCCCCATTGCGGTAACTACTTCTATGAATTCGGTGCCAATTTTGTTGTGCTAATGATGTGTGGCAACTTGAACCAATGCATATATGTTCCTGGTCCTACGTTGTAACTGACTGACTGAATTGTTCCAAGCTCATGTATGAAAATATATTTAGTGTGTAGCTGTACCTGGAAAATTGATGTGAGTTTTCGTTTATTGAACGCTAGCGACTGTTGCGTTCATGTTTTTACAAATTACATCGGTAATTATAGTTTTATCTATATTGGCGTCGCAAGACAAATTTTTATTCATATGGACCCGATTAATAATGAATAATAAATTATCCTTATTGTACATTTAGCGATCAAGGTTGTCACGTGCAGTTTTATGACATTTACTAAACACATAATATATATGCATTAATACAACAAGAACACTACATACAATTTTACATTTTTACATGTTTCAAACGAATTATTTTAAAACAGTAAACTCATTGATGCACGAGGTGGATAATAATCAGTGATAGGCCGGCTAATGTGGGATATTCAATACGAAAAATTGTGATCAGCTATTTTTCAGCATAAAACTGCGATTTTCAAAATACTGTACGGCTTTGTTATTACTGATAGGCGTATAATTTCGAATCTGACATCTCGATCTAATCAACTGAGCAACCCATTCAAGTTCTCTAAGTTTATTAATATTAACCGCCCAGAATTTTTTAGCATATTATAACTTAATACCAAGAGTCTGATCAAGATCCTTAAAACAAATGTACTCCCAACTTTCTGTTAATCATTTGGTAACGTGATATATGAAAACTTTCATCTGGTTTGAAGGAAAATAATTCCATTTCTTTGATAAAAATGTGGTTTTCAAGATGTAGGATTTGGTTATTTTATTCTTATTTTTACCACTGATTGCTTAATAATAAATATATATTTGTCATATCCCAATGAGTAAAAAATTGTATTTCTGACGTTTCGTGACTTATTGTAAGGCACTTCTTCAGAGCAAACAAATCACCGACATTAAATAAACACAACTTTTAAACTTTGACGAAGTGTCTTACATTAAGTCATGAAACGTCAGAAATACTATTTTCCTACTCATTGGGATATAACGAAAATACATTTATTGTTAACTCTCTACCGAATGTTCAATTTATTTGAAACTATCAAGTCCAACCTTACTATGTATACCTAAGAAGTGACTGCTTGTATCACGTAATTTATTAAACCTATTTTTTTATCCCTCTCACCAATGCCTTAAGGTTTAAATTACTATGGTTGTTGCTGTCACAGTTCAACAATAGATTGGAAATCGAAGTAAGTTATCTGTGTTTTGTTTAGAAAAATATTGAACGTTAATAAAAAATAATTAAGATAATAATTAAGAGAGGTTTTCCACATTGATTATTATGTCAGGTATGGTCCTGAATATAAACCAGTATTGATCATACTGTAATGTCTTTTTACAGTTTTCGTAACAATGAAATGATCATCAACTGAAAAAATGTCCCTTAAGTATATTTTTGACTATACTGTACATTTTATCAAATATTATTTCTGTTGGTTACTTTTCTCACTATACAGTCTCTCCTTTATTTCTTCACACTTCCCTTCATTTGTGCTGCACATGTAAAGGAATTAAAATTGAGTTACGGATGAATTGTGTTCGTGCTGTTTTATATCCAGTCTTTAGTAGCTTATCGCTCAGCTTTTGGATGTACTGTATGTCGGAAAGCTGTTAAAAAAAACCGTGCCTTAGTTTGATGGTATCAATTTACACAATTGTCACAAGAATATGAAATCGAGTTGAATAGATTACAGGAAAATTCTATGTCGAAAACATCATAACGTAATAGAATTTGTGGGCATATTGGATTCAGTTAGTTATGCTTTGATGAACACAAAAAGCATACTGATAGACAAAATATGTGTTTAGGTGGGCAAAGTTTTCGTTTTTTGTTGAAATGTTACCAATCATGTTTTGTGCTTCAGTCAAAAACTGCGTAAATATGAAATGAAGATGATTTTAATTAATACCAATCACATTTTATTGAATTAATGTTCAGTTGAATTCTAACCGATTATGATGAAAAGAATTTTAAAATAAAAGCCAGTAATTGGTCATTTTTCACTATCTTGAAACATCGACTTCGGTGGCTTAGACATGTATTTTATCTATGTCGTCCCAGAGAATTCCACGTCGTGCATTATTTGCTGAAGCTGGGACTGGTTAAAAAAAGTGGAGAGGTGGTCGGTGTATGACATGGTTTTTGTGGTATGAAATTGTTGTACAGGACTGGCTTCTGTTGGTGTTTCACAACTCCCTTTTTGGGGTCCTGGAGATGGCGCGACATAATGGCTAGAGACATGAGATATGGCTCAGAATAAAAGCCAGTGACGATCGTGCTGTAATTTTCTTTACTTCCTAAACTAAGCGTAACTTCTTTAACTGAAAGAATTCTTTCTGGTTATATTTTTGCTAACTGAACTGTTTCTCCCATTATCATTTATTTAAGTATTATTTCTCTCTCATACCCTAATTTCTTTTCGTTGTAGTTCTTTATTATACACACTTTGCATTCTCCATCTCTTCACAATCTCATTGTTATTTATGTAGCGTATATGTATTTGGTGCTTACTTGTACCAATGTTTATGCGTTCAAATAAATAAAGTTTTATTATGGGCAATAATTTTGAGTGTTTTAACATATCTTTCAAATTTTTTTTATATTTCAAAGTTTTTACCAGTTTATCAACCAAACGAAGATGAACAAATGGACGCTCAATTATATGCTAATAATATCCGTCGGATCATGGCAGAGTCAGTTCACTTTCTGTTTATTTATTCTTAAAATTAGGGATCTCTTGAACGTATTTTTTTTCTTGGTTCTTTTAACGAGTAACAGTAGAATACAAATATATTAATACATTTCAATTTCAAGATGTAGGGACTTATCCAGCGAATTTATCTGTCCGTAAGAGGAATTAAACAACTCAGATTCTTTATAAAAAGCCAAAAAACATCGAAAAATACGAAGAAAAGTGCATAGATTATTTTCATATACTTCCTTGTGAGTAAAGGATGAATGCTGTTCAATCACAAAAATTGTTGTTTTTCTTACTGTTTATACAAGTAAATTTTGATATATTGAACGGTTCACAACAGTTTTTGTTTTTTTGTGATCTGAATTTTGTTAAAGGAAAGATAAAAATGTCATTAACACAGGTTATGGAACCTGGAGTTATAATAAGTTGGGAAGAAGTGTATGCTGAGGAATAAATGCGAATATGACTATTCTATTCAATAGGAGAATATAGATTTCGTTAACAATGCATAAAGGCCATTGAGTCTTGGGACCTTGCATCAACGGTTTTAGAGAATCGCTTTAAAAAAACAGCTGAATACACTAAAATCCGTTTGTATTATAAAGAGACTAAATTCAACCAGAATAAGTCATTTCGTTAAACAATCCGTTTCGCCATACATTAGAATTGTCACTAATTACATTTTTTGTGTAAACATTTATGTAGTTTAGGTGGTAAAGTTTTCTAACAAATAATGTTTTGTCTTTATGTAGAATACTTGTTCGTTTCTTACCTTTTTTAAACTATACTCAGACATTTGAATGTCCCACTCTGCGATTTATCTTACGATGACTTCTGTCAAATCAGAATAGCATTCAAGTATAAAATACCAGGATATGAAACAGTAGTCTATTTGAACTCCTTACTCCAAATGATGTTGTGAGTGTTTTTTTATCAATTTTTCTCTTTTGTTTACATAATCAGTTACAATTTTTTCTGGTATGCAAGAAAACTCTGAGAATCCTTTACTTATATTATTCCGTTTACGATAACGAATTTGCTGACCACCAAAGTACAGAATAACTGACACACTGGAGTATAATCAAAATCTAAGGCGATATTGTAGATGCGTCATGTGTTACTCACATTTTCTCATGTCAGTTGATTATAGTTACGGAACTAGTTCACTAGGTAGCGAATTTACAATGACTGTCCTGAATCATGATAGTGACCAGAAATATGTGGTCTGCACAGAGCTTTTAATGAGTCATCGTTATTTTATTAGTGATTATGAAGGTTGTGTTAGTATTCCCAACTATTCTCGGTTCCTAAATCTCTGGTCTGGTTATACCAACCTCTAACTACGGATAGAGTACTAGTCGAACGGTCTGTGTTATGAGATTATTCATTTGTTAGTAAAAATCATCATTGTGTATGTATTTAGACTAAAGTCTTTTTAATGTAGACAATTATAACAGGGAACTGGCGATTTTCTTGCTAATTGTTACTTGCTTAAATTTAATCTTCTAGCCTAGCAGTGTATAAATGGCTGTACGGATTTGCAACGTAATCTTATAGTCGATCGATGGCGAATGAATTCGTAGTAATTAATGGGAGTCTGGAAAAAGAGCCTTAAATATACATTCTTAACTAGATCTGACTGTTTTTCGCACTCCATCAAAGCACAAAAATCAAATATACTAAGTAACAAACATTCTCAAAGTACCATGAGATTAAGTACTGACCATCATTTAAAAAAAACAATTATTTTTCGAGATAAGACTATCTAATGGGGATAAAAATTTCGATCATAGCAAGTCGTTAATTAAGACATATTCAAATCAAAGTAAGGACGAGTATAAAGCTCGCAGAAATTAAAGGTAACAAAAATGTAAAGTTATATTAAATAGAGTTGTTCATCACAAGATATTTACAGTTTTGAGCATTTGTCTGTAACTTGAGTTAATGTTGGTCATTATTTAAACTTTAGTTGTAGATATGGTAGCTATGATACCATCTGGTGGCTAAATGTGAACAGACGGTTTTTATATAAATGTTGTTAATACTTAATTTAACATGAAATATTTACTTTTGTAATACAATTTATGTTATAGTGCACTTGAACATAATTGTGATTTGATAACGGATGAAGATAAACAAGCGGAATGGTTTCAAATACGTCTTGAAAGCATGCTTGGTGTATGCCGACGTAAACCGTACTTATCACGAATAGAATTTACTCAAACTCTATTTCAAACAAGTCAACCTAATTCAAAAGCTAGTTATCTAATCAATTTAATTCTGAAATATTATAATGATCCAGTAAGTTTATATTGTTTCAGTTCTTAGAATTAGTAAAACATTCTCGAATACACCGACATTGAACTTTTTAATCGTAAGAACTATACTTTATTACATGTACGAAAGGGCATCACAAAACAACACATCGTAATAGGTAGGGTTGTAAATATTTCCACCAATCTCATCTTTGTTGTATATGTGGTTGTAAAAGTAATTTGCGTGTTTTTCAAAAAAAGAATTCAAGTTGTCCGGGGAGCTTCTCAGTAATAAATTGTAATCTTTTACATTTGTTCTCTGATTAGACAGGTGTATACGTGTAAGTATAACTTATGGAAATCCATGTTTTTTTATTTTTTTAGTCATCAAATAATCTGAATTTTCGTATGTGTATGGTTCATACAGCTATGCTACTATTTCCAAAGTTGCCCCATCAAGCATTTTACTATGCTACAAAGGTATGCTCATCGTTCTATTGTTTCAGATATATTCTCACCTATACTGTTTATGTTACTTTCTGTTTTTATTAATGTTACTACTACTACAACCACAACTATAAATGCGTATCCATTGATAGTCTACTAAATCACTTATTTTGAAGCACTATTCATGAATAAATTCATTGTATATTGGTCATTTCTAATGTACTTAATGGAAAAACTATTGTCTTTTACATAAGTAGTGTAAATATGTCGAAAAATGCTACTCATTTAGTTTTTAAAAAATCTATCACAGTAAATATTATTCAGCTATATACCTGAAAACGAATATGCTTTTCAGTTACAGACAGGTAATAGTTTTCAAATTTTTTGATTAGGCTTTTTTTCCGGCGAGCCATTGGTTATGTAATCCATCTACGTAACAGTCTGTTTACTTAATCACTTATGTAGATTTTGAAAACAGATAACTAATTAAGGTTGAAACTATCTTCATCAAGTTAACAAACTTGGTGGATGATAAGAGCTGGATTTTATTCTTGTTATTTCTTTCGCTAATTATTCTGCATAAGCTACGAAATGTTATATCTCCAAATTCCATTGATTACCGTTTAGTTTCAATTCTAGATAAAACAACAATTTGATGATTTATGAATTCGATTAGATTCGTTTTGGTTTTTTCAACTCTCGATTTATTCAGACTATCTATGCTAAACTTCAGTATGAATCGTGTCTAATTTACACTGTAATGATATTTGTCTATAGCTTTGTTCCGGAAATGAACACTAACAGTTGACTGTTGTATCAAGGAGATACTCTCATCATTCTTTAGTCAACTTATTCACAGAGAAATTAAATCTACTTGAATGATGTTAGAGAGAGTCCTCTCTCACTCTTTCTCGAAATGCTCTCACATAGCGACTCGTATACAGCCACTGCCAGGGAAATCTTACTGACTACTCTATCCCGGCGGGCTGGTTGTTTACGAAATTGAAAGGACGAAAAGCGAATGTCCGGCGCTTTATCCGGGTTGGTGGACACGGAGAGTTCACCTAGGGGAGTTGAAAAACCCTGATTCCAAATCAATAGTGCACATGGGCTCTATTATCCTGAGGGAATAAATGGTGTATGAACCAATCGTTGGTCACCGACTACCATGGGACTAAATCTCCTTACGTTTCTCCACTGCCTTGCGGATCAGACCTTTAGGTCAAAGACTCGGGGTGTGGCCTTTTAAGAAAACCACCTGCTTCGGTCTGGCCACCCGGATAGTATCACAGCCCTCAGTCAAATCAATGATAACTACGTCCGGAAAAATACTATTTCTTCAACGCTTTCTCATACAAATCTTATTCACAATCTTATGGTGACAATCGTTCTTCTACAGAAAATGATTTCGACCTATATTGTAGTAATATCCGGACACTTGAATACTCAGATTGGGCATCTACGTACAAAAGAGTTGTGTAGGTGACTGATGGGAACTTATTGGTCGCAGGTCGGATGACGGTGACTATCTACTGCAACTGCGCAGACTACATGCTGTTTCTGGTTAGCACTAACTACCAACATAGTCGTCGCCGCTGTGCTGTCTGGTATCTTCCTTCTGCATTTCAAGCCTTAGTTCAGATTCACCACATCGCGACCAACTGCAGCTGGTGTAGTTTTGTTCAAGACTGCCGCCCGTTTTGAAGTATTTATCTGGACTCTGATTATGCTCTTGTTTGTGCTAATCTTACCTTGCGCTTCAGTGGCCAACAAATTCTTCATCCAAAATGGATTGATGTCAGTAAATTGCTAGCAGCTTCTGTTTCAACTAAATATCAAATCGAGCTAGGTTCAAAGCTACATACTATCACACTGAAAAGTGTATATGGGCATTTACTGCAATTGTATGTTGCCACGAGTAAAGTCGTGACTTCGCTAAAGGTCTCGCTTATTAGGACTGGGTTTCTTCAGACTACTTACAACTCAATGAAGTCCGTCGATCCACTCCGAATGACTGTGAGTTGGACTATTAACAATGACTAACGTAATTAATTTTGGTAAGGCTTGTTGAGGGACCGAAAAGCCTGATGCTTGGAAACTGCCAACGAGTTGGAAGCAACAGCTGCATATATTGATTGTCGAATGCTGCTTCAACTCATTTGAAACACTGGAAGCAAAAATTCTGGTGTGAGCGAAACAAATTGTGAGGATGACGGGACGCCAGTCACTAACTTCCATTGACGTCTTGGACGATGAGCAGAGTTCTTCGAAGGGCAGTTCAACTGGTCCACTGCTCCGACAACATCGATCAAACTGTCCTGACCTCCGTAGCCTGTGACGACTGATCCACCAAATGACGCGGTAGTCCGCAAGGAACTCCAACTATTGAGGCTCTACAAATCACCCCACCCAGATGACCTACCTCCGGCTCTTTTTAAAAATGGTGGTGAATTTCTGGTTAAGGAACTGAATACGTTGTTTACAAAGGTCAGGGAACTAGACAGTGTTCCAACATCATGGGATGAGTCGATAGTTGTTCCTATCTTTAAAAACGGTTCACATCGTTTCTGTAACAACTATCAGGGGATTAGTCTATTTCCGATTGCGTCCAAACTATTGACTTCTGTCATACTTCGTAGGTTGTTCAAAAACCGAGGAAGATTGACTCGCGAGGAGCAGGCTGGGTTTCGTTCTAGTCGAGAATGTCTTGATTATATGTATAGGCAGGGTTGCCCAATCTCACCATTCCTCTTCAACTTTGCCATCAACAACATTCTGGAAACAGCTCTGGTGGATGTGGATCTGTTGTCTGGAGAAAGACTTCGACCTTGAGTATGCGGATGATATTGTCTTACTGTATGATGATGCCCAAGCCATGCGATCCGCACTTAATCAGTTGGCAATCAGTGTCCGTAGGTACGGTATGTGCTTTTCACCTTCGAAGTGCAAAATACTTCTACAAGACTGGCAGGATCCTAATCCTGTACTCACCCTGGATGATGAGCAGATAGAAGTAATCGAGAAGTTCGTGTATCTAGGTAGCTGCATAAGTGCTGGTGGTAGCGTGAGTGATGAGATCAATGCACGTATAGTGAAAGCTGGAACGACTTATGCCAATCTGGGCCACCTTTGGCGCCTCCATGATGTTAGTCTGGCTGTAAACGGTTGGATCTACAACGCGTCGGTGAGAGCGGTTCTGCTCTATGCTTGTGAAACCTGGCTGGCTTCTGTTGGTGTTTCACAACTCCCTATTTGGGTCCTGGAGATGGCGCGACACAATGGCTAGAGACATGAGATATGGCTCAGAATAAAAGCCAGTGACGATCGTGCTGTAATTTTCTTTACTTCCTAAACTAAGCGTAACTTCTTTAACTGAAAGAATTCTTTCTGGTTATATTTTTGCTAACTGAACTGTTTCTCCCATTATCATTTATTTAAGTATTATTTCTCTCTCATACCCTAATTTCTTTTCGTTGTAGTTCTTTATTATACACACTTTGCATTCTCCATCTCTTCACAATCTCATTGTTATTTATGTAGCGTATATGTATTTGGTGCTTACTTGTACCAATGTTTATGCGTTCAAATAAATAAAGTTTTATTATGGGCAATAATTTTGAGTGTTTTAACATATCTTTCAAATTTTTTTTGCTTACTCGTATCAATCTTTAATTGTTCATGTAGTAATATTATATGTAATTTATATGAATACTCACCGTCTTTACAATCAGCAGAATTAAAGGAAAATTTAAGAATTTTCAGGTTGTCAACTGCACGCTCTTAATTTATTCAATGTTATTTATTGAATAAATTAACGACAACATAGGTGATACGATAACTAAATTCAATCAACTATAGCACATACGAATAATGAACAGTGCCTAAGTAATCTTCTATTATTTACATGTTTAGTATAAGTGTATTCATTATTCTTTGAAGTTAATTTTTTCCTAATTACTTCACATTTATTTTTTTTATCCGCAACTAAATGAGACGTTTTCAATCTTTCATGAAAATCACTAAACTTCTTATCATAAAATTTTCTAAAATCAGGAAACCTCTCTATCATCGTTATCTTATAATGTTCCAGGCATATAATCTGTGTACTTCACAATCTGATGTAAATGTGGCCAAAGATTGGGAAATTAGCCGTTCTGATGCAGCGGAGTTATTGGGTTTTGCGTTCACTTTAAAAAATGACGAAACAGTTAATCTTATTCTTGATCGTGCTTACTTGATACATAAATCTACTCATTCAGATAATTCATCTAATGGAATTAGTGGGGGTAAGAAATTGTCATTATGCATTTCTAATTGCTCTGTAATAATTCGATGCACTTATGTGTCAGCCAATATTAAAATTTCAAACTACTTCTATAATATAAAACTAGGTTCTTCCACCTGCAGCTTTTTTTAATGTGGACTTTATAAATCGTTCACTAATCATTATTGTTGAATTTTTTTATTATAAATTGCTTCGTATTTAATTGCTAGTTCTTATCTTAGGATTTATAATTATCAACTAGTGACTGTGAATAATGTTGAAATTATGAAATCTATTTAATTGATTTAGATTTAAATCGAAATTGAATAAATGAGGACTCATTATCTAGCGATCACTAAAGCATATATTTCTAAACCATATTCGTTCTATCATGTAATTTTCGTAGATCACTTCATCAAAGTGTATATCCAGCACTATTTTATTTAACGTCTGCTTCATAAGTTTCTGATCTCTTGTAAATGCAAAAAAAGTTAATTCAGTGTATGGTAATGAGTATCGTCAATGAACCACTAATAACTTCAGTAAACTTACGTCAGTTGACAAATTTTTTCCTAATCTTAAGATTTAACAAGGTCATATGAATTTCGACTCTTATTGAAGTATCCTCTTTACTCCTACTTCTGGTTAAATCTGTATAGTCATCTCTAAACATATTTTAGTGATTATTAAATAAATATCTATTCATCTCGGTGGTCGTTTTTTACATGATTATGTGTTGCTACAGTTCGTACTTTGAAAATATTGTTGTTAAGTATTTCATCATGATAACGGAGAGAAACGTACGTTATTCGTCTATGATATCCTTGTGTTCAATCAAATAATATGCACCCCCTTTCAATCCCATATTAGAATTATATTCAATAGTTTTGCTTATTCTAAATACATTATATACCTATATAAAAATACCTTGTAGACTGAACATCCGACTATTTCTGAGATACTTTTGTATAATTTATTGTTTACGTTATTCCATAAGATATATCGGGTCGATCAGCCATGTATTTCTCAAAGCTGCTAGATCATTGTATTTCACTTCAAAAAAGACAGTAAAACGATGTGTTTCCTTTTTCACTTGAAATTATCACCTGACTATGGAATGCGACTGGTTTAATTATGTACGTTTTTCAATGACGATTTCAATCTACATATTCGTATGCAACTTGGGGAATGTTGTTGTTTATTTGAATATTCCTTGATATTTATTTTTTCTTATCAACTTTCATGTATAAACCATTTCATAGTGTATCTTTTCCTACATTTTCTTTAAAAAAATAGAGTACTTATATGAAGGCCTTTTATATCACCTGCCGGATGTAGCTAATTGTTATGCTCATTTTGATGCAGAAATCAACAAAGTTTTTGGTCGTCATCGTCGTTCACTAATCGACTCAACTTCTACATCAGAAAGTGATCTTAATGATTTAAAATCAACACATTCTGTCCCTGTAGTTAATTCTTTGAATGCTACAAGCTGTCCAGACATTACAACTATCTCAAATAAAAAAACTGAAATATTGCCCAATCATTTTGAGTGCATTGATGTTACAGAAATTCCACCAATTGAAACTAATAATTATTCTGAAAAATTAAGAGATAATGTCCACCTAGGCAACAGTCCGCTCAGAGATGATCAAAGTATTAACTTTCGTGGGCGTTATTCTGAACGTGGTATGTAAATTATTCAACACGAACATCGTTTTCCCATATTTTGCTATTTTTTTTTTGATTGATGCAATTTCTAGTTCCATGCAAAATAAAAGATGGTGAACAATCTTTTTTGTATCTTTTTCGTCTTATTTCGTTTTAAATATCTATTCAAATAAGTCTGTAAAAATGTTCTCTCTCTGTTAAAATACAGATATATTATGTTTTAGTATTCCAAAATTATAATTTGAAGTCCATTGTGTAAATTTGTAATAAAATATGTTTTTCTGCAAAGTTTTTCAATACCTGTACTAAATTACACTTTCCTTGATGTCTTATATCGCTAACATTTTTAAAAACATGATATCAATGTAATATTTTGTAATACAATTTCAATTCTACCGTATAAGTAAACATTTTTCCACTTTATTCTTATTAATTTCTCATATTGTTAAATACAACTGAGTAAAATTTCAGGAATTACAAACAGGACTTTGTTCATAGTTGATTAAATCAATACAACGCATTGTATGACTTTATTTATGTGTCCTTTCAAAACATTACCACAAGAAAATAAACACGTAGTTTCTATTCTTGTCAAAAACTACTAAAATTTGTTCATTTTTATTCGATATCTTGTCTTGTATTTACTTACATTCTGTTTATTTAACTTTTATGTGTGCAAATCAATGGCTGGTGTTCTCCTTCCTTTTATGTTCACGTTTTATATATCGTTTTCTCAGCGAAAATTTTATTTGGCGTTTGTAATTATTTATGAATGTTATGAATTTCGAAATTCACTTTTTTATGGTCTCATCAGTCGTACATCCGTCCAAACACATTCTTGTCTTATGTATGTGTGTAAATTATATATATATATATATATTTTATATATATTTTATGCAAAATTCCTGCCTTATGACAGTATTGTGTTTACTGGTGAACTGTTTTTTATCAACAATAATAAAATATACACAAGTCGTTTGATTTTTATCTACCAATGCTTTGAACTTTGATTATTTATCATGTGATACGATGCACTTGGTAATTTCTTTGTACCTCCTATGGAAGTGATTTACCAGTTGAACTTTGTCCTACCAAATTTGTGCTTGGCGTGCATGTGTCTGTAGATATGTGACTGTGATCTATTTTTATTTTTGTATATCGGGTATAATTCAATGGTACTGTTTCCATTGTAGTCCTTGAAGTACAAACTCACTAAATAATTAATACTTGTGAGACTTCAAAATGCTGTCTGTTTACACGTATGTTAAGTTTTAATGAATTGAAAGTGTAGATAAGAATTCTCTAACTAGAAGAAAACACTTCGGTTTTATTTTTAGAACATTTACGCAACAAACTTATTCATTTTCAGCAATACAGCCTGCAAATACATGTGATGAATGTAGCCAATTTTTTACGTGACGTGAAGTCATTCATAATATTGCAACTGCATTCATCTGTTTTCTAAAAACTGAGCCCATTTTCATTATAAACATTTGTCGAGGAACAATAGATATTGTACCTTTGTTTTATCTGTTACATCGTAGATAGTTGTACCCCCAACCCAATATTTATTATTTATAAAATTTATCTACGAAACCATTTGAACCATGTTAAGTATCCAATTTTAGAACGTCATTGAAATCCAAGGAAATAAAATTATATCACTTTTTGCCGTACAACTTCACATTATAAAAATAAAGTAATATTTTATGAGATACATAGAAACTTAATTATTTCTTAGGTGTTCATTCTATGGTGAACAGAGCATTTCGGAACAGAACTGTTTTGTGTTAAGTTCTAGATTTGTTATGATCAACCATGGTATAGATTCTCAAAACTACTATCATTGGAGTCATCGGCACAACGAAAGGCAATCATTAGACGTCTTCACTATGGTGTTGAAGGGACAAAAGCTGTTCGAACGAACTGTCATTCCTCTAAATTTGCTTCTACATTTTTCCCGAGTCTCTTGAACAGGTTTTTATTTCAGGGCTTCTCAGCTGTCTCCTTACTTCCCAAGTCCGCATTCCAGCCCATCGGCCTCCTCTGGGATAGGATGATATCGTAGTTTTACAATGAAAACCACTTTTCGTTTCCATATCATATAGATTAATATTCATGATAATTCCAGTATATTTATCATGTAATACCGAAATAGTTTTTGAATTGATGGCATACCAATTAAATGATCTGTCAAATTTTTTAGGGAAATGGTCAATTCTTTTAAAGATATTGTAAGCAAACGATCTTTAAAAAATTTAGGTATGCCTTAGTATCTACTCTGATATGTCATAATTCTTATTAAACACTGGCTTGTACATTTGTGTCGTTTGGAAAATGAACCTGTAATCATGCTCCAACTGTTGTCAGGAATTTTAAGTTAATTCCATCGAATTAATTATAAAATGTATTACACTTAAAGTATGTGCTTTTGATCGATTGTAATAAATTAGTGCACAGTTTATTTGTTAAGGAATTTAGTAAATAGCTACATATACTCCTAGATGAATTCATTTTCTTTGCTAGTCATTATCAGTTGAAATATGTGCACGTAGAACGGATTGTTTTGTATATCTGACTCAAACTCTTATATTCTGTAAGCATTGGTGCCATTGGACCTTCTGTAAAAGATTGGGATTGTAAATACTTGATACACACGAATGTTTGTTCATGTCTCTCCTGTTTTTGTAATTACAAACAGTCGAACAATCACTAAATGAAAGCATTCTATGATTTGAAGTTAATGTGAATAAAAAATTTTCATTTTAGCGTGTTGGTGTTCTAGATTGGTCATATGATAACCAGTTTACATAAGTCTAGGCATTATCTTCAGGGAATATTGTATTGGAAAACTGAAGATTAATTTACTTGATCTTTATTGCTAGGGCTGCATAAAAACGTTAGCTGTGATACATAAAAAACCTTGACTATCAGGCTAACACTCATGCTTTATCGTTAAATTTACGCGACTCTATTACTAAGCTCTGTTCAGTTTCTCTGCTATCATTGCACATTCCCTTGCCTACTGTTTATCTTAGAAGAACGTAATTAATCGCTTTTCATCACACATGATTGCTCTGTCCTAGTGTACGGTTAGCTTAATTGAAGAGTATAGGTCCAACAAATGGACTGACTAATAATTAGGTTAATTAAACATACATAAGCAAACTTTGTTATTGATGCTAAGTTGATGAAATTAAGTGAATACCTCTGTTTTGCAGCACTGTACGGATCAATGTTTTTCTGAGTTATTGCGTTAAAAATTTAATTTCAAATAAAATAATCCTTAAATAAGGGATTTTTGATTTTCTTACTTCCGGTGGGATTCTCTTATTACATTTGTGTTTGGAGTGTATAATTAAAGGATTTTCTACTTTCTGTTATTTTGTGTGACTTACAACAGCCTAAGCTTTAATTTTAGTTTTTTTGGTTCAGTAAGTATTATTTTCGTGAAATATTCTAGGACAAACTGAATTCATAATAGCAGTCATCGAATCGACTCATAACTTCGTTTATCCATCTGAACAACAATTTGGCACTCCTTTTTTAGCAAACGATTAATAAACTGATTTTCTGCTCTATTATCTCATATCCTACTGAAAATCACATCGATTAAAGCGTGAATAAAGGTCACTTATTAAACTAAACTATTTTATATATGTGGAACTACACTATTAATATGGTTATTTGTTTGTTCAATTTGCACAAGTTTCAAGACACGCACTATAGACATAGAAACTTAAATCAACCATACGATTGTTGTTGTTCACAACTGTTATTTCTAGTTTGTATGCTAATCATACCAGTTTGATAATATGGTCATTTACTGCATATGATTATTAATTTGTAAATTAAGCAAGTTCCGCTTTTCTGTTTGAAGCCTGGTGTTATGTCTTCAGTTCATCGATAAAATTAGAATTAATGGTGTGACTGCACTGATGATTTTCCCACCTAAAAGATCCTAAAGAAAACAGATTCAAGAAGCTTTAGTCACTGTCCAACTGTCTTCTTATTGTGTATTTTTGAGTAAATAAAACGAGCGTGTATATGCAAAATATTCAGCTATAACCGTATGGTTTAGCTAACTATCGGGTAAACCTTCAAAATAGAATAAGAAATAAAATTTCACAATCCAACTAATAATCGTCCATACCTACACATTCATCTGAGCTGAAACGTATTATGAATTGTGAGCTTATCTTACTTACATACGTTCTTTTTTAACCGGGTATCGGAATAGAAACTAGGCTTCGTTATCCATTATTGTCCAAAAGCGATTGCCGCTTGGAAATATTTGACAAAAAGTCACTTTTATGGGTGCATGGATGCTCGTTTCTCTTCATGATCGTCATTCAGATTCCGAGAATATAATTTTCGCTAATAAGTTCAATTTCATGATTCATCATCATCATTATAAACATATTTCTTGTTACATTCCAATTCATTATTAGATTTCTACCTACTGCTCACTTTATTTGAAACTATCAAGTCCAACCTTTGCATCGATACCCATAATCTTCACTTAGTTTCATAGTTTCACACCAATAAGTTGTTTTGTACTCATCTGAAATCATTAAATAGAAAACAGTTCTTTCTCAGCTCTTTGATTATACACAGAAGAATATAGCTTGTTTTTATCAAACTAACAAAAGGGAATTTGATTTTTAAATTATTTATTTACATACTTTATTATTATAATTTAGGTCGTCAGCAATGGCAAAAAATCAGCAGTCCAGTAATATCGTATCAATGGATATAGAAGAAAACTCAAATGATAACGATGTTTTTCTAGAGAAATGTATTTCATTTGCTGAAATCACCTCCACTGACCGAGCACTTGGAATGATGTATCTTCAAAATTATAACTGGGATCTAGAGGTTAGTGTTTTATATTATATCCATGTTGTCTTAGTCAGTCATAGCTTGCAGGTTCCCTCTTAAATTTGCATTCATTGTTAGTCTAATTTCACTGTTTATATAGTTTTGTATAGCTTTATGCATATTAAATTTGATAATGCAATCAGAAATAATTAATCGAATTTTTCAAATCCGATTTTCTGGGTTTTAGTACTGTTTTGTCTTATATGTTTAGTAACCTTTTAACCAATTATTCTGAAACTGACCTACTTAGTAAATGGATAACAACTACGATTTATTGGGGGAAATATACAGAGAAGCATGATTCCGTGAGCTTTTCATTTAAAGTCTATTTAAGATTACAGAAACTTCAACCAGTTACAGTTTTCAACTGTGTAGAGGTAACAAAACAAAACAAAAAAACAACTGAAACCTTTCTCTTTAACGTTACCCTTTTTGCAAAAATGTTCCAATTTACCGTTTGTTAACATTCTATTAATACGAAAGCATTTCAGTAAACAGGAATCTTGATCATCATTCATATTTCAGAACCTCAATATTTACTTTCAACTCAGATGTACAACTATTTACTTTGTTTTTAGGATCCCCTTCAAAATTATTTACAGTATAATTTTCTGATCACTAATGAGAAGTTAATTGTGTTAAATATATGCATTTAATGTTCGCACTTTATCAACAGTGCTTCTGGTTAGGATTTATCTGTTCCGTAAAAGAATTTAAATTGTGCCTAGATTTGAGTAAATGATTAGCTTTTTACTTCAACTTCAAAAACATCTCAATCGTTTTGAAACTGAACAACTGATGTAAAGCTGCTGAATTTTGTAAACTAGGAGTGTTTTCAGAAGAGTTACAACATGTTTTATTGCGTAATTAGATATGGAATTATTTTTAATGGTCACCTCGTGTATTGATTTCAATTAATTTTTTCCATTTTGTGCGAGATTATGTGAAATCATCACCACCTTCAAGTTTCTTCAAACATTCTTTCTTTCCATAAATTCTTGCGCATAGTTTATTCCTTACTTGCTTTATAGATTTATTATCTTTGTACTCTGCCACGAAGAATGTACCCCTATTTTATTCGTTTAAATATAAAGTCTTTGCGTTTCTGACATAGTCTTGTTTAATGAGTATAAATAAGTATTTGAAATTGCCTTACAATGCATTTAGTTGTCTGAGTAGCAAGTGAATACATGTTAACTCCAATTCTTATACGTACTCTTTGATCATTTCGATGTAATTTGAGTTCTAAGCTTTTATATGAAGTTAGTGTAAGGCAATGACTTGAACTCACAAGGAATATGAAAAACAAATATTTCGAGGATAGAAACGCATAAATACAGTCTGGTAGTCTTTAGATTAATTTATATTTCGTGTTTCGTTCAACGTATAATTCCTCTGCATTATAGACTATTTCTTATTCAGAGTATTGATTCTAAAGAGGATATAAAAAATAAACTTAGAATTCTTCATCAAACCATTTTAGTTTGGAAAAAAGCATTTCGATGCATCAGTCATTAACAGTCCTAATACAGACTATTCTTACTGTCCTGACCATAATCATATGTTAACATATTGAGGATTATATGCTTTTGTTTTATGAATACGAACAAATTTCCAATGTTCATTATGAGGAATATATAATTGACTCATATCAGGAACAAACGTAGATAGATACTAATTATTTCCGTAACTAAACATATTCACCTCAGGCTAAACTAAACTGACTCACAATGTATGTATAAGTTATTCAGTATAAAATATTATTGGCTAACAATAAAATTGTTAGGATATAAACAAATATGTTGGAAAGCAATATGGTATATGATCCTGCTGCTGAAAATTTTAACACAGAATTGGCGTTTAATTCCGATCATATATACTAGTCTATTTAAGAATTATCTCCACATTAGGCGATTAAGACAATATATTCTGGAGTGGTTTTGCAAGAGTGGGAAGGAAGGTGTTTAATAGTTCTTTTCTTGAACATTAAACCGACTGCTCACTTATATGTTTAATCTAAGCTCAACCTATCCACGAGATGAAGCCTGAATTTCGTATGTATAAGAAGTGTATGATATGTTTTTATCCATACGCTTTAATTATTTTCGTTATTATACATTTGTTTTATTGATTTTACGCTTGAAAATCTCCCCATCTCTTCAATTATTTCTCATCGTTTTCCATGAGCTTTACTCATAATTGTGTCCGATATCGTTTCATTTAATCCCTCCATTATGTGTGTGAAATTTCACTATTTTCTATATTGTATTGTCGTAAATTATATACATCTCTTTTTTAAACGATATTTCTGATTATTCAAAGATTGGGTCAACATGAAATCTAGCTGATAATATATTGTCTAATCAAGTTTGTCGACTCTGAGAATGGACAGGTTTAAAATATAAATCTGTTTATCAGGTTAACTGAAACTTTTTTGAATCTTCTTCAGTTTTGTTGTAATACGGAACATTTACTTTATTGATGATACTAATGTAGATGGATATTCTTGAACGAGTGATCTTTACGAAGATTATTTCGGTACAAGATCACATTTTTATAAGAAATTTTGTTCATATTTAAAGAAACACGTTTTATGATTGTATTAGTAAAATTTTAAGCAATTTAACTTGAAAATAATCAAATTTTCGTTCATGAGTTCATTTCAAGCTTCTTCAGAAAGATTTACAGCTATATAAAAAAGTTTCAGTTTTCATTCATCAGTGAAGTGAGTTAATTCCAAGCGAATGTTTAGCTATAAAAATGATTATATTTCGAAGTGAAAATGGTGTTTTCACTTTACTTTAATTCATGACTAGTCATTTGTTAGCTGAATCTATATCTTACATCAATTCATTTGTTTCCGGTTAATAATATAGTCTTATTATATTTTGCCCTTAATAGTGTTCCCTCATTCAAGTCTGAACATAATTATTATGTCGCTCATCAAGTTCACGACTTCAGCAGTGAAGTTAGTCACCGGTCTTGTATGATAAATTTTATCTTTTTTAGTCTAATCCTTTTGTTATTGATCTGAAATAGAGGTTCTAACTAATTTTCACATTTTATCACGGATGGAAATTTTCATTTACTCATGTAATAGATTACTATTTTTATGTGTAGTCATATTTGAGTTCCACATGGGTCAGCTAACTAACTTTACTTTCATAGTTTTCAAATAAGTATTCTAAACATTTACTGATTTCTTATTTAGTAATTAAAGGATAATCCTGTTCAGTTTTCAAAGTAAATTCTTATATATTTAACATATAGTGTTGTATTGTGACGTAATTTTATATTTACTTTGGTAATGACAGGAATTTTGCAGAAAGATTATAGAACGGTGAGTAGGTAAATGATTTTCAATGATGTAGACATCATTAACTCTCATTTGTTGAAGAAAATAAATAAAATTCCAAAAAAACTAGTATGAAATTATCTAGTGATCAATGGATAATTCCAAGATAAATGGAGACTACCTGATCTTAAGTTGAATAAAAAATTTGGAAATTATTTATTCTGATATTGCAGTGTCCGTGATGACATTCCCCCTAATCTGTTAATGTCAGGAGCCTTTTCGTTGAAAACTGCCTTCATAAGATTGCTTGTGATCGCCTACCCAAATGTTGTGTTTTAACAAAATGGTCAAAATGATTTATTGAAAGCCGTAGTAAGCTTATAAATACATACATTCTTCTAACTCAAGCAGTTCGTTGATGAGCTTTGTCTGATACTTATATCACCTATAGATCATTGTGAATAGTTTCCACTTATTCATTCATAAGATTGTACACTAACTCTGCATTTATAAATCCTCAGTATAGTAATAGCATTTCCATAATTATTTATTTTCTCATAAATGTTTTGTGCTTTTTTAAAAATCTGGGCGGAATATTCTAATACTAACTTGGATGAAATTATCCATCGACCTGTCTGACCGGAAACAAATTTACTTTGCTTAGTATATTTTTCGTCAGGAAAATTAATACTGTATATCAGTTTACGAATTTTTTTTTTACATGATGTAATAAATAAGGATATGCTTAACCTCTAGACTACTGAGTCGTCATCCAATGGTGTTAATTTCCAACTTCAATCAATATACTGTGTAGCAGTTACTCACTGAAGACATTGATGGACAGTTGCGCAATATCGCGGATTGGTTGTTGGGAACCTTACGGATCCAGGGTCATCGAAGCATCCTTCAAAACAAAGATGTAGTGAATCACGTTGAATGATATCCAATGTTATAGACCCACCAATGATAGCAACGACGACAATAAAAATCAATTCTATCAGTGGCTGTAGTCAATCAGAGCGAAATGTCCAAGAAAGGATCTGACCACCTTGATGGGAGACCTTAACTCAAAAGTCGGAATGGACAACACCGGATATGAAGAGATCTTGAAACGACATGTACTGACTGGAAGAAAGGAACGAAAATGGGGAAAGATTCATAAACCTATGTGGAATCAGCAAATTAGTTATAGCGGCACAATATTCCCACACAAACGCGTACACAAATCTACATGAATCCCACCGGACCGCACTACGGAGAACCAGATATATCATATTTGCATCCATAAAAGACTTCGAGGGACAATGGAAGATGTGAGAACCAGGGGAGGGAGCTGATATAGCTTCAGATCATCACCTGGTGGTGGCCAAGATTAAGCTAAAGCTAAATAAACACTGGACAAACAGCATTACATAGGTTCGTCACAGCATTCCAACGAGAAACTAACAAACTCAACAAATTCAAGATGACTTCCAACAACAGGTTGCAAGTCTTACAGGATCCATTGAAATAAGAAGAAAGTACTATGGAGGACAACTGTAAGGGAAATGAAGAAGCATTAAATTCAACATGTCATGAGTTACTTGGCTGCAAGAAGCATCACTATAAGGAATGGGTATCTCTCGAAACTGTGCACAATATTCAAGAAAGGAAGTACAAGAATAGAGCATTTAACAACAGTAAGGTGTTTCCTTCGGACAAC